ATAATAACACAATTTATACATGTATGAAAACATCATATTGTACCCCTTAAATATGTAAAATTATGTGTGCTATAAATAAAAAATTAAAAATGTAAAACATTAAAAATATTTAAAAATACTTAAAGGGCATTCTGAAGATTTGTGTTTCAAAATATATATTATCTCTGACAATGTCTCCAAGACAAGAAAACTATTTTTATGTCCAATTTTGAAGCATTAAGAACTAGACAAATTCAAGCATTTCAAGAAATTTACTATGTCCAAAGAGTCTGATTCCAGGTGGCACACATAAGACAACTCTCAATATAATTGGAAAGGTAATGATAGCCAGTAAGAGTCTACTGGAATTAAATTGTACCATTATATGTCTACTTAAACCACTCTCCCATGCTACCTCATCTGATTCCTTTTTTGGTACCAATATTAAATACCTAGAACAACTCCAAAAACCAAAGTCACTTCACTAAGGTCTTTGTATCTTCAGTATTGATACTTTGTGAATCATACTAGATATATACAATATTCAGAAACTCAAAAAGTTAACATGTAAGTTATCAAAACCAAGGATCTGCCTAAATTATTTGTCTAAAAAGGAATACAAATAGGTTCTTTTCTAGAAGTAGCTGAAATCCAAATACCTAGCTGGCCATGGATACTACTACCTATTGCTCGTCGGTTAAACAGTTCCTTCAGAGTCTGGAACTACTGGTTCATATAAATTGTACCAAAATTTACTATGAGGCAGGGATTATAGCAAGATAAATATAGCAGGCATGTTTCTTATTATTCAGAGTCTTATATTTTTGTGGGTGAGATACTAATGCGATAGAGTAGAATCAATATGATGATGAATATTTTTACAGTTCTATAGCAGAACTAAGATGACATATCTAATATAAACAGGTATGTTAAAAAAAGCTTTTCTTTAAGACATGATGCTTGCACAGAGTGCAGTACACTATGTAGGCAGTAGCAGGTGGGGACCCAAGAAGAAATGCAGAACATAATTGGTAGGGGGAAAAGACTAAATGGAATCCAAAGGGAAAGAACAAAAGAACTGACATCAATTTAGTTCCATACAACAAATTACAGAGAAGTTTGTGACCTGAAAATGTAGTGAAGATGTAGAAATTAGAGATCTGATGGACCATGCTAAGGAGTTTGGATCTTATCCCAACCAAAGATAAAGAGTAACGTAATGCTTCAAGTTGTCTATGATCAAAGCAACTGAGAACAAAATCCATGATGCCTAAGTAGATGAGGTAAAAACGAAGTGAACTATGATCTAACCTCAGAAACACAGTTTTGACACGGACTGGTAATCACCAAGAGAGCGTTGGGATCAATGGCATTATAAGCACAAGGTGGAGCAGGGAGCAAGACAGAGTATGAAGAGCTAGAAATTCCTTCACCATCTAAATGACATTTCTGAAAGCACTTGGAAAAAAATGGAATTTAATCGTTCTTTTTAAAGTTTTAAAGGCTTAGGAAACATGTCATGATATGTTTATCCATATTCTGCTTTGTCATAATATTTTTGTTTTCTTATTTAGTTCAGAATATAATGAGTGTGGTACACAATAGAAATTGTCCACTATCTTTTGTCTAATTATCTTTTCCCACTCCGGTATATGTATAAATCAGGTGACAGTTCCAATACTGAGCAAATATTACGTACCATAAGATGATAAAAGACCTTAAAATGAATATAAATAAGATCAATGAATAATAATCTCATGGAAAAAGTACATTAAAACATGAGTAGTGTTATTTAAACTTATCCATCCAATCATTGTACTAATGCCACTGGTGTGTATTGTAGACGTGGTTTGCTATGAGAATTTGATAGAAGTAGACTGTGAATTAGTTGATGTGATATATAGTTTAAGCTATATAAAGCATTTTTATTGTTTATGCTTAGAGCTTATTTATTAGTTGTCTATTAGTTAGTCTTACAACACTGTAATGCATAGCATAGTTAATTTCATTAACATTCTCTGCTATGACATTTTTGTTGTCACTGATTTACGCCTGATGTTTTGAGGAGTTTGTGATGATTGATGAGGAACAAGGGGATTATAAAGATGGTACATTTGTAAAATCCCTTTGGGAACTTAGTTCACCTATCTGTAGAGTGAGAAGGTTGGGTTCATTAGTCTAAAATGTTTCAATTGTAATTGTTGCATATATTTAACAATCTTTCAAAGCTTTTCTTTATCTGTTTATTTTATATTTCTATCATATTTTTTGCTCAGAAGTATATACTCTTATGATATGGAAAAAACATTGTATTTTATATTAGTTTTTCTTTTTCATTTTTCTTACATCTATTGCCAGGTAAATCAAATTTGGTCTATTCAAAATTGGTCAACTGTAGCATTTCAAAAAATTAGCATGCATGCTTTTACTTTTTTAAAAAATTTCAGAATATTACAGGGGTACACATATTTTGGTTATATAATTTACTTTTGTACAATTTGAGTCAGAGTTATAGGTGTGCCCTTCATCCAGATAGTGTGCATTATACCCGTTAGGTGTGAATTTACCCATGCCCTCCACCCCCCTCCCACCTGTTTGATTTCTGTTGAGTTTTACTTCCATATGTGCTCTTACGTATTTATATGAAATAAAGTTTTAGCCAAATTTCCTTTTACTTGAAAGTTTTGGGAAATTATATTTATTACTCATATTGTAGTGATAATATCTATTATAATCTTTGAAAGTTTTTAGTGATAAAATATAAGGACATAAATAGAAACAATGAAAGTACAATACATGGAATGGTATACAAGACATATAGAAATCAGACACACACACACACACACATATATGCATTGCCTTTAACTTTGCTATATACCATTTTTACATGTGACCTTCCAGATTTCAAGTTAAAATTTAGTTGTCATTCTGATAGGTAGTACTTGTTTTATTTGTTACAACCCAGTAGAAAGTCCTTATGTTCACTAACAACTCACAGGTAGTTTTTCATAGAGCATTTTTGCCCAGGAATTAAATTTTAAACATTGTATAAGGTGAAATAAGATAAGGATTGGCTGTAAATGGAATAAAAATGTGATGACATGATTTCATGAAAGTCTTTAATTTTCTTATTAAAATAAAGATTAAATCTGAGAGGTATCATATAAAAATTTTAATGTATTTTAAGAAATGTGATAGTCCTGAAAAATATCCCAGTTATACTTTAAAACTAACCTATACTGATTCTATTTTTCTGAATCTGGAACATTACAAAATGTGCCACACTTCAAACTCAACAAAAATAAATATAACAGAAGACATGAAACCAAATGGGTTTATGGTGTTTTGATTAGTAAATTAAAAATATTCCCTAAAATAATATTCCAAATTATCTCTTTGCTCACTGTCTGAAGAGATTTTAATATCCCTGGGTATTACCTCAGCTAAGATTGGGTTGTATGAAGACTATACTTTTCTTCCATAAAATGGGAAAAATGTGAATGTAGGCTCTATAAGGCAGTTTCATGAAAAAATCATATATGGCAGTTGACCATCTAATAATTGAAATATTAAAATTATGGTGAACCAAATTCTTTAGAAATATCTTCACATTTTTCTAGGATTATCTATATTCCAGTCTGAAAACTTTTAGAGAAGAATAATTTCATTTGTTCTTGATTGAGTCATATGAATTGGTATATGTGAACTTTAATATATAGTAAAATTCTCTCCATGAAGATATGTAGATACCTTCATATCCAGCAAGGTCAGAAAAAAAAAAAAAAAAACAGTTTTGAACAAGATGCCTCATTTGACCAACACAAGATATTTAGAAATACTGGTTATTGGAGGCCAGTTCTGGAATAATAGTTTTGATTTAAGTATTGGAGCAAACTTGAGACTCATGTCCCTTGTATAACGGTGCTTTTCCTCTAAATTCCTATTTGTTTGTCATATATATATGTCAGATCAGCCCCCTTATCTGGAGTTTAGACATTGGGCCTTGCTCTGCAAGTACACTACCTCCTTGCAGCAGTGTTTCCTAGAACCTCAGCTGTCCAAGTCATGATCCTGATCTATATCTTCTATAAAGCATTTGTACTTTCTAGAAACAACTGAACTATTGCTGTAAGCCTCCATCCCAGTTTTGCATCTCTTTTTTATGAATCTTGCCTCGAAAAACCAAAGTAAAACTTCTTCATTTTCATTTACCATAAGTGTGTTGTTTATATAATACCCATGGACCATCAGAGAACTTTTCATGTATTGAGTGTTTTTATTCCCTTACCAATGCCTTATGAAATGTTGGTAATTAAGCTATATAAATTCATTTTTAAATAGGGTGATCATGTGTCAGCATTTGTCTGAGACAGTACCAGTTAGCAGTATTGTCTTGCATAATCACAAGTGTTCTGTAAAAGTTTATCTGGCTCTCCAGGAATAAAAGTTTTGAAATGCTACAGATTTCTTTGGTGCAATTGATCCTACCTTGGCTGATTTCAAGCTACCAGTATGACACCATTGAACTTGGAGTTGGGAGTCAATGCACACAGTCATCTCTTGCACGCACCCAGGAGTGGGCTCTTGCATGCTACTGTGTGGCACCCTCCTTTCAAACTGAAACATGTCCTAGTTTGGTTAATAAATTATGTTCATGCCAATTTTACCTCACTGGCTGTTTCTGTGGTACTAGGGAAGGACTCTCAGTCTACTTGAGAATATTAATCTCAATCTATAACATTGGTGAACAACTTGTTATGATCTCAGCTTCAGCTTTGATCTATGTCATGAAAAACAAAAAGCTATGGTAGAAATCGAATTTTACATTTAATAGTCATACCTTGACCTGTACATGTAACCTAGGGTCCTGTGTGAAAATTTTTATTTCGGAAATCAGTTGCATTATCTCTTAGGTAGAGGTGGATCTGACAAAGTATTTTTTCATTTTTATATCAACTCAAATATGTCATTGTGAATGTCAAATTAATAATGAATGAAGTTTAAAGTAAAAAAAAGTGCTATAAAATTTCATAATTTTGTTTATCAGATATTTTGATCACCTAAGTCTCATACTGAAGAGCTTTCCTTCAATGACAATAATTCACTAAGGCCTTTAAATAGTTATAAAATTATTTATTGAAAGATTTAATGGTAATTAAAATAAAAACATTAATAGAAAATGAATTCTCTTCTTCATTATTAAATATTTCCTTTATAGCACAGTCCTAGGCTTACTGCTCTATCTTAATTACAATAAACTTTATTGCACTTTGAAAATGACTGAATATTTCCTTCCTTTATATTCTAGTCAAATGTCTCTGGTTTTGCAATGAGAACAACATTGTCAATCTTTTTCTGAAGTAACTCACATACCACACATTTCTCCTAAGCTGGGCAATCAATTCAAGGGTTTACACTCTCCAGGGCATTCAAAGAAAGCAGTGCTCATCCAATCTTCTGGTGAGTTTCCCAAATCTTTGTAACAGTATTTAAATTAGGATTTTTATTATTATCAATCAAAATGTCTAACTCTACTACTATGCTACCCGCAATTCTTATGTTAAACAACTGAGAATTTTTGCATATTCTATCTTGAATCTTCAACCAAGAAAATCCAAAAGTATGGGATAACATACACTAAAACTAACAACCATGTTGTGTGGAGTTTACTCTTTGAGTACTCATCCTTAACAAAGAAAAGAAACAAAAGCAATATCAAATGCAGCCTGAATATTAAGTATAAGAACTAATGAACATTGCAATACCCTCTCAAGAGCTGCATAACAAAGCACTTTATTTTATATCTTATATCATTTCAAAAACATAGGGACTTTGCCACCCTAATATCTTAGAAAACTGAAAAAGTTAAAATTGTTTTTGTTGCTTTGCAAGAAAAATGGAATTATTTTTGGCAAACATATCTGCAAATTTCTAACAAGCAAACACTCAGACAGATGGCCTTCTTTCCTCCTGATGGTATTTGTTAGAAACAGGCTTCAGAGTAAAATTCTTTAGGGTATCTTTCTCTCTGAAAATCTCTCCTAAATATATTCTAACATTTTAATATTTGCATGTTTCCTTGAGGTTCATTTGTGTATGTTAAAATAGAGTTTTGAGCACACAATTTATTATGCTATTGTTCTTGCTGTTTCAAATTGTACTAAAGTAAATCTTATTCCTAATATTTGACAGAAAAAATAAAGTATTTAAAGTAATAGAAGGCATATTCTAAACTCGATTGAGGAATTCACTAAAAATTTCAATGGAATTTAATACCCGGCAATCTTTTTTTGAATGTTTAATTAGAGAATTGTTAGGTGAAATACCTGACAATCTTTTAGCATTCATACATTTTATTATTAATTCTGCAGAAATTAAGTAGATAGTTGGTTTTCATAAATATTTCATCTTACTAAGCTATGTACAAGCTGTTGGTTTCAAACTCTGATGGACTTTAACTAGAAACATTTGACAAGGCCAAATAGCACTTGATTTCAAAGCAAGGTTTGAGTTATAAAGAATGAAAACCTCTGAACTCTAATGATCTGTTATTTGTTTTTACTAGTGTCACCAGGATTTAATATAGGCTTCTCTTAGTTTCTTAGACATGTTATTATATGTAAAAATCTCCTTCAAAATGCACTCCTAATAGAGTTTTAAATAGTGTTCATTTGAGGGCTTCCTAAACATTTATTTAGACAACCTCAAATATGTCCTTTCTTATACAATTTCTTTTTCACAAAAATTCATTGCTTATAATTTTGTATTATGCCACTTGGCATTCACATAGGAGAGACTCACTGTAATTCAGCTCTTATAATCATCATCATCATCATCATATGAGCATTATATAAGTAAAATTTGTGGCCCTACACTCATTTGCTCCCTAGGCTTTTAGCATACTCATATCCCTGTCTCAGATTTTCCCATTCATTAGCATCATTTTGAAAAGAGAAGTATACCAAAGAAATATTCATCTCTATTCAATAAATGGGGCTGAGAAAACTGGATGATAATGACCACATGCAGAAGATTGAAACTGGATCCCCATCTCTCACCTTTCACAAAAATCAACTCACAGTGGATAATGGACTTAAACCTAAGGCGTGAAACTATAAGAACTCTTATAGACATTAGCTTAGGCAAACAATTTATGAAGAAGACCTCAATAGCAATCACAGCAGCAACAAAAATAAATAAATGGGACCTGATCAAATTAAAAAGCTTTTGCACAGCCAAGGAAACAATCATTTGAGCAAGTAGCCTACAGAATAGGAGAAAATATTTGCATGCTACACATCCAATAAAGGGCTGATAACAAGAATCTATATAGAACTTAAGAAAATTAACAAGAAAAAAATCAGACAACCCCATTAAATGTGGGCAAAGGACATGAACAGAAACTTTTCAAAAGAAGACAGAGTAATGGTTAGCAAACATATAATGTGCTCAACATCTCTAATTATCAGGAAAATGCAAATTGAAACCACAATGAGATAGCACCTAACTCCAGTGAGAATGGCCTTTATCAAAAAGTCCCCAAACAACAAATGCTGGCATGGGTATGAGAGATAGGAACACTCTTAAACTGCTGGCATGACTGCAAATTAGTATAACCCCTGAGGAAAGTAATTTGGAGATATTTCAAAGAATTAAAAATAGAAATACCATTTGATCCAGCAATCCCACAGCTAGGCATCTCCCCAAAGGCAAAAAAAAAAAAAAAGCATTCTATAATAAAGATAACTGCACTTGAATGTTTATGGCAGCACAATTCACAATTGTAAAGATGTGGAAACAACCCAAGTGCCCATCAATACATGAGTAGATTAATAAAATGTGGTATATGTATACCATGGAATACTACTCAACCACAAAAACAATGGTGAACTAGCATCCCTTATATTATCCTGGATAGAGCTGTAGTACATCCTTTGAAGTGAAGTATCACAAGAATGAAAAAATAAAAACCATATGTACTTGAAATCAAAATTAGTACCTACTGATCAACACTAAGCTGCTCACATGGTGGTAATATTCACTGAGTGCTGGACAGGTGGGAGGATGATGGGGTGGGTAAGCTCACAACTAATGGGTGCAGAATGCACTGTATGGGGGAAGGGCATGCTTGTAGCTCTGGCTTGGGTGAGGCAAAGGCATTATATGTAACCTAAATGTTTATACCACCATAATATTCTGAAATTAAAAAAATAAGTATAATATTTATTAGTTCCATTTAGTTTAAAACCATGTAATAGCAATCAGCGTACTGCAACATCCACATGATCTGTTTCTCTTTTTTATTTAGATCTCCAGGTATCTTTGTTAAACTGCAGTGAGCAATGTGACCTCAATGATAAAAGTACACAGAGAAACCATGAAGTTAGATCTTAGGTAAGTAAGATTCCCCTGACCAACTAGTCATAGTTATTATGCAACTCACGTCAACTTGAAAAAAGTCTTTAAAGGAAGATGAAAGATTGTGAAATATGATAATATATCTCAGAGGTTTCTATATTTTCTATATTGCTACTTTCCAAACTGCATGCATTGTGTTAATGAGATAGGCATCCATTTGACATAATCTTCTTGCTATATAACTGAATATACTTCTGAATACCATGCCAACTATTTAGGTTACTAATGGTAGCAGCACAACATTAAGATATCATTAAAAAAAACCCTAGTGTTCTTCTATGATCTACCTCTACATGGGTCTTTGTGTTTGTAATGTACTCAAAATATGCACAAAACCCCTGAGACATATCTTTAATGATCCACAAGGTAGTTTTAAATGGTCAGCCCACAAAAAGTATAGTAATTGCTATCATAAATGCCTAGAAGGCTATGTATCTTTCCTGATAAATTGATGTGTTAAAGAAATGGCCCTGGTTCCCACTCTAGGCATTTAATGGGGAAATGTCTCTGCAAAATGAAATAATAGGAAGATATTGCTCCACTTCTGTTCTTGCTATATAATTTAATCTTAATTACCATCTTAGGTTTAATACCCTAGAAATCAGAGCCTGAGGTAAAAGCTTATGTGCTAACACTTTATTAAGGAGTGCAATAAATTCACGGGGAGCAAGAGGAAGGGGGGAAAAGCAATGAGTTCACCTTTGCTTTTCTTTGAGAATTTAGATAAAGAATGTTCCTAAAAACATAACAAGTATAAATTTAAAAAAGTCTATATCACCTCTATGCTGCTTTTTTTAAAGCACCATAACTACTGATAGCCATGTACTCAAAAGCTAGAACATACTAAATTACAGTTTACCTCAACAATGTGCATGCAAATTTTGAACTCTTTAGAGGAAACTACCTTTTTCCCCCCTACATTACCCTTTATTTTTAACTAATTTTATAATAAAGAAAATAAGCAGATAGTGGTAGGAGGCTGGATTAGATGAATCCATAAATCTCTCTAATCTCTTCATAATAAAAATAAATTTTGAATCTACTTCATTAATAACAACAAAAAACTGTAGATGCATGAAGAATCTGTCACTACAGCATATGTTAACATATCACAATGTTGGATACAGTTACCTTCACTGCACAGCTTTTGACAGATTAAAGCCACATATATTATTCCAAATAGATATTTAATAGATGAAAGCCAGTCCTAGCATTACACTATATGAGTAGATTCACAGCCTCAATAGCAATTATTCTGATATTTAATAACTCTGAAATGTCAGAAAATACTCTGTGATTTCTAATCTGAATCTTTATGCATCATGCTTATATTTTTTTTCTAATTTATTTCTTATAGAAAATAAAGTTCAGTTGACCTGAGGAAAAACTCATCCTTTAACTTAATGTGTTAACTGATATCTTGATCTTGGTCTAAATGAGATAGGTCTAAATAGAAAAGTTAATTAGCTTTAGAGCTTTGTTCGACTCCTTTTCATTTTGTCACCATTTTTTTGAATGGTGGAAAGTCAAATATAAGACTTCTGAGCCATATGACTGGGGATTTTGTTCAAATGGGATTAAATCTGAGTTTGTGCGCAAAATAATTTAATCTGCTTTTACAGGCATAGGCAGAAGACTATACTATACACAGAATATGCCATCATTGTCAATTATGATATAACTGTGGATGGTAATTAGGATTGTTCTCTTTTGAATCTGCATAAATACAAATGGTCTCTGTGTGCTGACATGACAAGAGGAGAAAGACATTATATTAACAATTCCGCACGTTCAAAAATAGATAGGAATATAAATCTGGTCAATCTAATCTACGTTATACCAGAATAAGAGAGAATCAGGATGATTAAATGTTTCCTCAAGATAGTTTTTTATTCACTTATATCATACTTCTAAACTCTTCTTTTTAAAGGAAAGAAATATTGCTGTCACTAAACTTTTTAAGGGACTGGACAAATGCAATTATATAATTAATATTACATCCATCTAAAATATGACTCTAAGAAGATAATGATTTGACTTCTTTTAGTGCTATTTTTCTAAGCCCTTAAATCTGAAATCTCTAATGATGTCTTAATGTCACTTAGATTTTATATATTGTCTTCTTAAATATTAAGGGATGAAACTGGTAATGATTATTATTACTGTTGGTTCCCTTGTAGTTGGAAAGACAATTTTCATAAAATTGACTTTGAACATCTTTCAAACAAGGAAATTATGTTCTTAGACTTTCACTGTTGTTAGTTTGGCCCTTTCCTTAGTGTGCTTAAACTACAGGTTTTTTTTTTTTTTTACTGAGCTTAAATCAAAGATGATTTTATTGGCCTGTTATCATATATACTGAGGAAAGATTGGGAACAAAAGAGAGGAAGAAAATATATGAGGAATGATAAGGACATCAAACAACCTGGAGGATGAAAGTGGTTCTTATAGTTTGATAACCATATCCCTCTTCAAATGAAGTTACTCCAGATCAGACAATACGTTTTTCTCTGCTATTGTATGTATTTCATCGCAACTATAAAGTTTGAGATCTTAGATGATTTGCTCTATTGTAATGAAACAAAACATTTTACAGTCACATTATTAAGATGGACTTCTAGCTCTATCATTTTATAAAATAGATGAACTCCAAATAGTAATTTAAAGTAGAAAACATGGAACTTAATTTCTACTTCATATCTGAAGTAGAATATAATTTCTACTTCATATGTGACATAAACACATATACCTCTTGGTTATTATAATTAAATGAAATAAGTTTATATAATATTAATAATTTATTTTATGATTACTTATGTGACAGGCAGTATGTCAGGGTGCTTTATGAATATTTTTTAAATGTCTAGTGTGTAAACTATCACTATTAGCTCCCCCATCTTCAGTTTTCTACATGTTATTTCTTATTTTATGAAATACTTTATTCACTAAGGTAGTGATTCTTAACTTTTTTATATCACCAACCTTTGAGAATTAGACGAAAATATCACTTCACTATCCAAAAAGACAATTTGAATATGCATATAATTTTAAAAGGTTTGGAGATTCAAATTTATAAATCATCTAGTGATCCATAAAATCTCAACTAAAAACACACAAACTAGATAAGATGACCACGTCAAACTCTCTTAACAATATATATCAAAAAAGCACTGATTTCGGATTTATAATATATAATCTGAGAAAGCAACAAGGAATCTTGGGATCAATTCCAAACCTGTGATATGACACCTTATTGTAATAAAAATAAATACACTTAACAAAAAATATATATATGTATATCTGAGAGTCTTGAGACATAAGATTATCCCTGAACCATATCATTCTTTCTTTTTGGATCTCAAACTCAATGTGCTTCAGACCAGAATTATTTTACTTATTTTTTCTCCACATTTTTTGTATTTTGGTGCATATCAATCTCCTTTTTACAAACATTGATCTTAGTAGATGTATTCAGCTCAGTCTATATCCAACCAATCATTAAGCCATATGGCTCTAGTCAAATGAATAAACTTAGTCTTCTGTTTCTTCTCTATTATCAAAACAAGAAACTCTGTAAATGTTGATTGCACATCTTCTATGTGAAGAATCAAATAAAACTCCCATATGCCATAAATATTATTCAGAATATTGTTTCATCCTTTGCTTTAACTGAATTCAGATTATCTTTTAAGAATATTGATCCCCCTTATCAATTCTCTGATACCTTTGTTTCTCAGAGTCAGAAGGTACATCATATATCTTTGTTTCATATCCACATGGTCATTTCCTCATATCCTAAAAATCCCTATACTGTTAAGAATCTTATCATTAATTTATTCCATCTTCTTTGTGCCCTCATTTATGGAATTAACTATCTCTTTGTCATTCCCACTGTGCCTCCTCTGTACAAACATACACACAAGAATATTGTGTAAACCAACTCACTGTCTTCCTCAACATTTCTATTCTTGGTGTTTTGAATGCCTAGTGTCTCATTTATTTTACCTCCCCACTTAAAATTGCCGTTCCTCAACTCTTCTTCAGCCACCCACTCCTATAGTCACATACAGATATTAGAAAATCACAAAGACACCCCCCCCCCAATACTCTGTTTCTAGCCACCTATTCTTCCATCTCACTTAATTGTCCCTACTGAAGTATTTTGTTTTATTTTATAAAACTCTCCAATCCTTTAATCACACTTTTCTATTATCCCTTCTGATGATACTTCATTTTCAATCTCCATTTTTCTAGTTAATCATTAAATCACTCAATTTCAAATACTTTCAATGAGTTCCTTAAAATGACAAAAAAAAATCTACAGATGGGATAAGATGAAATACAAAAGTAAAAAGATAATTCAGTAATAAACTCAGTGATATCAATACTAATATTAAATGTAAATTGAATAAAAACTTCAATTAGCATCCTCCTTATGTTGGAACTTGGTATTCTAGGTACCAGGAGATTATTGGAGAATTTACTCTGTCATATAGATATACTGAACCTAATAGTTTTAGATACACTGAGCCTTTCCAATCTAGTTTTCCACCTCCAGAAATCTGGAGCTTCTTAGTACTCTCTGGACAGAAGATTAAACATTGAGTTTTTGAGGACATACTTCACATATAATACTTATTGAAGACATATTTCCCATCTAGAACGTTTGATTTTGATGTGTTATAAAGAAAAAGAAATAATTATTGCCACTAAAGATAATTAGATAAATTGATATTTATATAAGAGAAAGAGAAGCCATGACTATCCCCAGGGTAATAACAGTTGTCATAGAAACCAGTGAAGGTGGGTTCTAGACCTCTATACTGATCACTCTTAGATTAGTGATTTGTTAATGTAGGAGAAATAAAGTGTGCACAGGTTCTTTATCATTATAGTTCTATGGGTAAAGATTAGAGAGAAATTAATGCTCTAATCTTCAGTGGTTTATATTATATACATCTGAGTGGTTGACAGTT